TTGGGACCGTCATCTGCTAATGGGGCACAACTCAAAATGAGAAAAAAAAAAAAAAAACAAAAACCCAGCTAATAATATCCATTAATAATCAGAGAATGGAATGTATAGAGTATGAATCTAGGAAAATTGGAAGTTGTCAAAAATAAAATAGAACACATAAAGAATGACATCTAGGCATTTCTCCATGGGAGAAAGATGAGGCTTTCTGCTTCCGTATAGATTTACTGCCTTGGAAACACTATACAGGGTCATTATAAGTTGGAACCGACTCGGTGGCACACCACCACCACCACCACTGCCAACTTAGTCTGAAATTATTCAAACATGCAACCAAGATAATTCTGGTGACTGGAATACGGAAGTTGGAAACAGAGAAATGATCCATAGTTAAAAAATAAGGCTTTGGTGATAGGAATGCTGTTAGAAATCACAAGACAGAAAATTTGCAAGATCAATGACTTACTCATTGCAAGTACCCTTTTTCAATCTTACCAGATGGGATACGTAGGAATCAAATTGATTACATCTGTGGGAAGAGATGATGGAAATCTCAACATCATCAGCCAAAACAAGGCCAGGGTCCAACCGCGGAACAGATCATCAGTTGCTCATATGCAAGTTTAGGTTGAAGCTGAAGAAAATTAAAACAAATCCAAGAGAACCAAAATATGACCTTGAGTATAGCTCATCTGAATTTAGACACTATCTCAAGACCAGATTTGATGTATTGTACATTAATGACAGAAACCCAGAAGAGTTGTGAGATGACATCAAGAACACCATACAGAAGGCAAAAAAGGTCATTAAAAAGTCAGGAAAGAAAGAAAAGACCTAAATGGATGTCAGAGGAGACTCTGAAACTTGCTCTTGTAGCGTAGTGGTTACGAATCGGGCTGCGAACCTTAAGGTCAGCAGTTCGAAACTACCAGCCGCTCCGCGGGAGAAAGATGAGGCTTTCTACTCCCGTAAGGATTTACACCCTCGGAAACCCTGTACAGGGTCGCTCTGGGTCGGAACCGACTCGACGGCACTTAACAACAACAACAACAACAGAGACTGGAAGCAAGGATGAAGTAAAAGAGCTGTTAGAGAAGACAAAGTCAAGTATTATAATGAAATGTGCAAAGACCAGGAGTTAGAAAATCAAAAGGGAAGAATATGCTCAGCATTTCTCAAGTAGAAAGAGCTGAAGAAACAATTTAAACTCTGGATTACAATACTGAAGGATTCTATGAGCAAAATAAAGAGCTCTGGTAGTGTAGTGGTTACAAATTGTGCTGCTAACCTCAGGGTCAGCAGTTCGAAACTACCAGCTGTTCCATGGGAGAAAGATGAGGCTTTCTACTCCAGTAAAGATTTACAGCCTCGGAAACCCTGTACAGGGTCGCTGAGTCAGAAATGACTCCACGGCACATAACAACAACATGAGCAAAATATTGAGTAACACAGTAAACATCAAAATAAAATGGAAAGAATATAGAAAGTCATTGTACCAAAAAGAATTGGTTGAAGCTCAACCATTTCAGGAGGTAACATGATCAAGAACTAATGGTATTGAAGGAACAAGCCTAAGCTGCACTGAAGGCATTGGTGAAAAGCAAGGCTCCAGGAACTGATGGAATACAAATTGAAATGTTTCAACAAATGGATGCAGTGCTGGAGGTGCTCACTCATTTATGACAAGCAATCTGGGAGACAGCTACGTGGCCAAAAGACAGAATAGAACCATATTTGTGCCCATTCCCAAGAAAGGTAACACAACAGCATGCAGAAATCTTCGAACAATATATGATTAATATCATATGCAAGCTAAATTTTGCTGAAGATAATTAAAAAACAGTTGCAACTGGATTATACGAAAGAGGACATGGCATCAAGATTGGAGGCAGACTGATATGGAGATGGCACAACCTTGCTTGCTGGAAGTGAAGAGGAATTAATAAGATCAAAGACTACAGTTTTCATTATGGATTGCATCTCAATGTAAAGAAAATGAAAACCCTAACAACGGGACCAACAGATAACATTATGATAAATAGAGAAAAGACTGAAGTTGTCAGAGAGTTCATTTGGTTTGGATATATAATCAATGCTCATGGAAGCAGTAGTAAAGAAATCAAATGACATATTGCATTAGACAAATATGCTGCAAAAGACCTCTTTAAAGTGTTAAAAAGGTGTCACTTCGAGGGCTAAGGTGTACCTGACCCAAGCCAAGGTATTTTCAATTGCCTCATATGCATGTGAAAGTTGGACAATGAATAAAGAAGACTGAAAAAGAATTGATGAATTTGAATTATGGTATTGGAGAAGAATATTCAAAGTACCATGAACTGTCAGAAGAACAAACAAATCTGTTGGAAGAAGTACAGCCAGAATGCTCCTTACAAGTGAGGATGGTAAAACTTCATCTCTTGCACTTTGGACATGTTATTAGGAAGGACCAGTCCCCTGGGGGACATCATGCTTAGTAAAATTGAAATTTGGGAAATAAGGAAGATCCCCTTTGAGATGGATTGATACAGGGGAAGCAACCATGGGCTCAAAGATAACAATTATGTAGATGGCACAGGACCAGGCAGTGTTTAGTTGGGTTGTGCACACATTAGCTAAGAGTCTGAGGTGATTGAGGGCACCTAACAATAACATGCTGGGGAAGTTCTAACAATGAATAGGAATTGGAATTACAACGTGTTATTCCAATGGACAGGGATATTTGTTTTGTTCAATGCTGGTTTTTAGGGCACTTGGAGAATGCTGAGTGAACGTTTGTTAAGTGACTACGTGAATGAATCCAATGTAATCCCAAATCTAGCATGTCATCTAGGAGAATTGTATGGACATATGGTTCCGCTGAAAACAGTGTCCAGCTTCTCTTATTAGGAAGGGGCTGTTTTGTCTGTTCTGTCCTCCCACTTCTCTTCCTTATTCATCCTTTGACAAATCAGGCCAAGTCAACACAAGTTTTGGCTGCTTTCTTTGACCACGGAGATTTACAGCCTGTACTGCATTTTTCTTAACCCTTTCTCCTTTTCCAGACTGCTGGGTTTTCTGAGGACAGAGGCTCAGTGTATCCGCCCTTCTATCTTCCTCCCCCTCTCTTCAGCACTGCTTGTGGCCACGTAGAGAGTCTCAGTAGATGTTGCATACTCCAAGCCATAAAGCCTCTGTGTCCAGGGACCAAGTCTGGGAAGAGCTAGGGGCAGCTCTGGCCAGAACCCGCAGCATCTTTCAGGACTGCGGCGTCCCCTCCCCCAACCTGTGGCGTCCCCGCATTCCTTTTCCGTTCCCCAGAGAAAAGTTCTCCCTACCAACGCTCTTCTCTGTGCTTGGGGTACAGCAACCAATTTCTCAAGGTTAAGGATTTCTCATTTTTCAAGCGAACGATCTTCGTTCGTGGGGCAAACACACAGTCCCAGATGATCGTCCGGGAATCGTTTCTCGGGAGTAAACTAAAGCAGGTGGATGCCGTTCAAGGTCCCGGCAGACTCGCATGATGGGGCAACTATGACGCGACCCACTCCCACCCGGGACCTCTCCCCGTGAAGCGGTCCGACCCCTGCCCCTAGGCTCAGCCAGGCCGCTGGGCCGCCGCGCAGGCGCCTCACAAGGACGGGCCGCCTACTCACTGCGCGCAGGGATCCGGACCAGCTCCATCCCCCTCCCCCACTTCCCACCTCCCTCCCCGCAGATACAGGACTTTCCCTCTCGCCTGAGTCTTCTCCCTCTACCCGTGAAACTGGGGTGAGGCGGTGGGGCACATTTTTCCGGGAGGGGCTTGGTTGTGTGTTGCTCGTCAC